AACCTGCATGTGACGAATAAAGCTTTGATTGATTGATTGACTGAATTGCCAGCAGTATTGGTCATTATTTACTGTATTTGGCAGACAGAGAGTTACAGACTCTCTCCCAGACCTCAGACTCATAATACAAGTCAGAGCTTTATAGAAGAAAAAAAAGAAGAAAAAAATAAAGTTGTGTTTTCAAAATTAGAGTTCAAGTTATTTTTACTTCCAATAGTGTTAAAAGTAGTGTAACATAAATATAAATGCTGTATTTTGATTATTTTTAAACCATGTAACTTGGATGGATTTGATGCTGGCGTGACCACAGTGCACATGTCTGCTGTTGCTCACAGTGGTCCAAGGGACGCTCAGGGAGTTTGTGTGCTCGCTCAGACACGTGAAACATTAGAGGAAACATTGCTTGTGTTTGACACCAAACCTCAGTTAATTATTTCACCATTGTTGAAGAAAACTGTCTGAGGCGGGATGGATCCATGCTTTCAAACTCTGACCTTACCATCTGAATGTCGCAGCAGAAATTGAGACTCATCAGACCAGAAAAGGTTTTTCCATCTTCTGAGCCAGCGTTGTAGTTTCTGTCAAACTGCAGAAGGACCAAAGAGCTTCAACACCAAAGCAGAAGAACTGATTTATGACAACCAACCAGATGAGGAAAATGACCATCAGACAGCAGGACAAGGCTCATCTTAGATATCCTTTAAAGACACTTTATAATAAAGATATATGGTATATGGTAAATGGTAAATGGCCAGAACTAAATCATCCATACGTTTGGAAACATGTTATTTTGGACTGGAAAATAAAAGCTTCTTGATTTAATTTGAAGCTTTATTTGAAATTTTACTTTTCTATTCGCACATTACTTTTGGTCTAAATACTATCACTTTAATTTATATCACCCGATATTTTATTTCATTTTATTCTGACAGTCCAAGTGAGTAATGTTAAAAATACATGAGAGTCTTTTCAAATTCATATGTCTCCTGGGTCATTATTTTAATTTGCTGTGGGGCGATATTCACAGGTGGGCAGACCTGAGCAGGAGAGGTCCTGGAGCCTAGAATAGGAGCTATGTCCACAGGAAGGACAGATGAGAGTTACTGACAGAATCGCTGAATAATCAACTAATCAAAGAAGGATTGGCAGATCAGTCGACCACCAAAATAATCTTTAGTTGCAGTCTCACTATAATTAGAATTAGTAGATGCAATCAATAAGTAGAATTCATAAAACAGAATCTGTAAATATAGCATGTAAAATACAAAATGTGAAATAGAATCGGTAAAATCAGTAAGACGTTTTGACTCTAATATTTTCCAGCACTGACTGCTGACAGTTCAACAGCTTAATAAGAGATCTTTTTTAAGCCATACAGCAGGAGCTGTGAAGAACAGACAAACTGTGGAGACGATTTTCTTTCAGTGGAAACAGTTTGAATGATTTTCCAAAACTGGCTTTACTCTAAAAACACACATTTGTACGCGTGTGTACAAATATGAACAGTATTAACAGAAAAATATATAAATGAAATGAAATGGGGGGTGGGGCTGTGTTATCGGTGCATGTGTGAGTTCAGGGTGGTTGTGGCCTTTGTGAAGAAAATGTTCTTGAGTCTGTGGGTCTTTGTGCTGATGCACCTGCAGCGCTTCCCTGAGGGAAGCAGGCTGAACAGGTTAAAACCAGGGTGGGAGCTGTCCTTGATGATGTTTGTTGCTCTGCTGAGGCAGCGGGAGGAATAAATGTCCATCAGGGAGGGGAGAGGGCAGCCAATGATGTTCTGTGCTAACTTGACTACACTCTGAAGCCTCACTCTGTCTGCCTTAGTGCAGCTGCTGTCATACAGTATGTTAGCAGGCTCTCAATGGACGAGTGGTAGAAGGTCAGCAGCAGGTTGGAGTTCAGCTTGTACCTCCTGAGGACCCTCAGGAATCGTCTGACATTGTGCTCCATTACAGTGAGTTGAGCGGTGCAGGAACCAGGTGAGGATGAGGATGGGAGCAGGGCTGAAGCAGATGAGTGCTGCTGTTTTGGTGTTTCAAAGCTGGTGAAGAAGCCGTTTATTTCCTCTGCCAGCTGCACACTCAGGTTTTCTGCTTTCACAGTGTAGCCGCTGTGGTGTATTGTCTTGTATGCCCTGCCACACCTCCCGTGTGTTGTTGCTGGACAGCTGGGACTCGATGTTTATTTTGTGGTCTGTCTCGGCTTTTTAAATTCCCCCTTTCAGGTCAGCTCGAGCAGCCCTGTACAGAGCTCTGTCGCCTGACCTGAAGGTGGCGTCATGGACTTTGAGGAGTGATCGGACCTCGCTGGTCATCCAGGGTTTTGGGTTTGTGATATATATGTATTAATGTAATAATAAATAATGTTACCAAATGATAATACAAACTTTACTTCAGTTTCTATTTCTACTCTAATAAATGTACTCAACTTGAATCAGTCTTTGAACATGAGCAGAGAAAAAGAAGGAAAATAAAAATATGTTTCTATTTCCTGTTGCCTCCATTGTGGAGGGAGACTTTGCCTCTAAACAGCAAATGTGTACAGTCAGGGGTTAAAGTGGATTCAGCAGGTGGGGAACCTAAAATCAGCGGTTTTGTCTCAGTGTGGGGAAAATAATCAAACTCACAATCATTTCTATTCCAGCAGATTGTCTTAGTGTGCAGGCTGTGATCAGCTGACCTGCTGCTCTTTCTGGATGTACATACCTGGATTTAGCCAGATGTGAGCAGATGTTTCATCAGTTGGCCATCCTCTACACTGACAGTCTGCTGTTCATCCGGTCTTTGTATTAGACAGCCACTGTGCACCAGTCACACACTGTTCTTTACTTTAAACCATCACAGTACAAATTAACCTGTTTATCCTGCAGAGGATTTTCATGCAGCCTTTAAATAACTGTCTGCCTCAGTTTGATTAGCAGCAGGTTTCACAATGTGAAAAACATAATGTCACATGTATGGATTTAAAAACACGATGATTTACATGTCAGCTGGACCTTTAGCTGCAACACACTGCGAGACAAACTGCACACAAACAGTTTGTGTGTTTGCTGATGTTTATTGAGCTCATAGAAACACTGCATTTCAAATTACCTGACACTTAAAAACGTTACTCCCTTTATGCTCGCTCCTCTTCCGTAGAGCTAGCGAGATGCTGAAGTACCGGCACCTGCACTCACCTGCCCAGGTTATCTCTGAGTATAAACTATAGATGAACCTAAAATAATGAGTCTCTTTTCTGAAAATGTAAGAAGAACAAAGTACAAATATTTGTTTAAAAATGTAGGGAGTTAAAGTAAAAAGGGTTAGAAAAATAAATAGGCTGCTCAAGTAAAGTACAGATGCCTGAAAATTTTACAGGCATCTGTAATCAGAGCATCAGTAATGAGTGCTTACAGAGGAAACAAGTTTGGACTTTCTGGTAAATTAAATGATTATGTTGTTCATAGTCGTAAAAATGCAAAGGTCAAAGCCCACATCAGTGGAAGCAAGAATGAGCTGAAAACACTAAACTGAAATTATTTGACTTAATGAACTAAAACATGCTCCTGCCCTGCCCTTTCGTACCTGTTAACATCTCAGCGCCACTGTGAGCTTCTCGTTCACCCCGACAGGCCTGATAAACAAATAAAGAAAACTGTACGTGGCGGAAGCAGCGCCCCCTGCGGCCCGCCGCCGCCCTGCAGGCTCCGGGCAGCTGGGGGATTTCCTGGGCGGAAGCAGCGGAGGGGGTTTCCAGCGTTCAGCCCGTCCTGCTGCTGGATCTCTGAACTGATCCCAGCATCGTCTGCTCACACAAACCACTCAGCCGGAGAACCTGAACCCGAAACCGGACCATGAGGAGTCCGTCCCAGGCCCGGAGGCTCCGACACAGCGGCAGGTTGACGGTTTGAATCCCGCAGAGAGTCCGCGGAGGAACCGCCGAGAAGGAGGTCCCGGGGAGTCCTGAGGAGCTGTGGCCTGCGGAGGAGATTCATGTGAGTCCGAGAGAGCAGAAACAGAATAAAGACACACAGTAGAGACATACCAGAGATGCGGTATTGACAGGAGACTCGGCGTGAGCAGCGGGAACATGTTAGCTGTGTTAGCGGGCTGGAGGAGATGCTACAGCTAGCTGTGTTTACATTAAAATCCCCGTTACCGATCACACCGAGCTAACAGGCTAACGTCGGCTAGCGTCGGCTTTCCGTCTGTTTACACCCGCGCCCACCGGATCAGTAACAAAATCAATAATTCGATCGGTAACTTGATTGATGCCCTGATCAGAGCAGCAGAGCTAAAAACAGTCAGACCTGAAGAATCGAGCACAGAGAGGACGAGCCCAGTCTGTTGCTTCTATTGTTCTTATTGATCCGCGGATCAGTTCCTGGTATCGATTATGGCTTGTGTGTCGATAACATGTGATGGGAAGGTTAACAGGACAGGTGTGTGTGAGGTCACGTGAACTTGGAGTTACTGTTTACTATTTGTAAACACCAAAGTACTGTCAGAGTAAGCAGGATAGTAAGGCAGTAAAAGTACTAAGAGTACTCCTCAGACCACCTCCGATGTGGAGTTTCCAGGTGGTTTCTCATTTGAGGACACGCAGGTTATCAGGTTAGTTTCACCTTTAGCTCACCTGTGAGAGAGCAGCTGATCGTCAGCTGACAGAACAAACCATTATTCAGTTGAAAACACCTGGACATGCAGGTGACGCTGATGGTCTGAGAAGATTGGGACACTGAGAGAATAAAACCCTGTGATGTTTAACATCTGAATCAAAGGTCTCACCTGTAACCTGACACTGAGCATACCCCGGGCGGAGCGTGTTTTGTTAGGTGACCCAGGGTGAGCCTTGCAGGAGCTCTCAGGTTGACCTCTGATCGTCACCCATAAGTGTCTTAACGGCGGCCTGACGGGATCCCGCTGAGGAAACACCTGGACGAGACAGATGTTAACACCATGTCATCATCATTATTTGGGCATCAGAAAAATCCAGAAAACACCCAGAGGGTCTGACTACATTACCCAGAACGCTCCAGTACAGGTCAGACAGACATGAGAAAAAGCTGCTCAGCAGGGCAGGTGCTGTGCAGCACTATACGTGTCAAAATTTAAGATCATGGGTGTTAGTGATGGTGTGTTTAGCTGAGCAAACGATGATAAGAATCCTCCCTTCACCCCAAGATGGCCGCCCCTCCCTGAGCCGCTTTCCGCTGAAAGTTTCGTCCTGTTAAAAGCTCGTTTTTCTTTCCCTCTGTCGCTAAGTGCTTGCTCACAAAGGGCCATTAAAGCACCTGACATGGCTGCTGTTGTGTTTTTGCTGCTATCTAAATAAATGGTACTGATAGTGGCGATGATGATGATGCTGGTTGTGGTGATAATGATGATGGTGGTGAGCACTGGGTAACTGGGACATGTGTGAAGGTCCTGTTAATGCTGAAGCACATCTGCAGGTTCAGAAACATCTGCTGTCATCCAGATGTTTCTGTTTCAGGGATAATGAATAAACCCAAGTGAGTCCACACCTGCCCCTCCACAGGCACCCCCTGCTGGGCGCAGACTGCTATCATCAGGTTACTGATCCTCCATCAGCTGCTCTGAGGAAAACCCCTGTGATGAAGTGAATTCTTCCAGTTTCTCTTTCTGAGAAGTGCTCAGTCACGACTGCAGTCACCTGCTTCATGTCGCAGCACCCGTTAACCACAGGCATGACATCACACACGTAGGTGTGATGTCACACATCTGGCAGATCCAGATTGCACATCAGTGACGAGCTTTCACTCTAACTCAAGCCTTAGAATGCCACTGACTCATTTGGGGCTTTTATTTTGAAAGGGATGGGTTTGTGTCTGTCTGTGTGTGTGTGTGTGTGTGTGTTGACGATGCAGTGAATGGAAAAGTCCCCAGCATCCCTGACAGGAAGTGTGTGTTTCTGTTTCTGTTTCTGTGTGTGTGTGTGTGTGTGTGTGTGTGTCTGTGTGTGTGTGTGTGTCTGTGTGTGCGTGTGGAGGTTAAAGGTCACAGCTGTGTGTGAGGTCATGAAAGCTCTCACTTCAGGTTTTCATGTGTCAGCTGACCCGATGCTTCTGAAATTACCCAGAATTCCTGTGTGAAGTGTGTGGATCCTCTTTCTGGATTTATTCAAATGTTCAAATCTTTCATTTTTTACCAGATTTCACTGTTTGTGTTTTGAAAATGCGTCGGCTCTTTGAATGTTCGTGAGTTGATAACATAACATAAACTAGGTAAATACTTCTGATCAAAACCCCGCCAGCGCCACCGCCTCACTGAGGAGGCACATCTCATGTCACCTGACGAACTACCGTCCAGGTAGCTCGTCAGGTGTGTGAGGCTGCAGTGGGCGGGTTTCCCGTCAGAGCCGAACAGCAGGAAATGATGGTAAACCACGCGTGCACACCGAGGTTACTGTAACAAATGTCGGAAAGTCTGGTTGTTCCCCATCGTGCGTCCGATCCGTGACCGGGATTCTCGGTCTGCGTGTTTGGCCGTCTGTGCTGTCGGGGCAGCGGTCAAACGTCCAGATGAACAGAGGTGACTGTTGTTGTGATTTGGCACTGTATAAATAAAATAGAATAGAATACTACAGTACTGTGATACAGCAATAGTGTAATACTGTGGTACTGAAGTACTTTTTTGCAGTGAGTATCAGAACACTGAGGTCATTTCCATTGTGGCTGTTTTTGAAACATCACATGTTTAAGGAAAAACCCCAAACTGCACGTCAGTCAGCTCAGAGCAGCTGACTGGAGTTAAAGCCGGTTATCCAACCGTCAACTTCATGAACTTAGAAAACAGAGTAACAGGTTCATTTTCTGAAATCCTCTTTATGTTTTTAACTGAGAGAGAAATGCATTCATTCCTCAGTTTAATGGTTCAGTATCTGAACCTTTTTCCTTTATTTAACATTTGGACTCACGTCCAGGGCTGCTCAAACATCATGGCGGACGTCTGCTGTGAGGGTTAAAGGTCAGTGTAATATTTAAATGTCTGATCACACTGTACACGAGGAGTTCCAACATGACCAAAATGTGATTCTTCAATCGCAAACGTCCACCTGGTCATCAGGTGACCCATCGAGGGTTCAGGTAGCATCGGCCCTTTTAAAGGATCCACGAAAACACAAAAGGAAAAACTGTGAATGCCGACCGGTCGGAGACGGGGTCCCCGTGACATTCAGCCAGAAGCTACAGGATTCACCCGAGGGTCCACCTGAAGGACCTACCTGAGTCTGAGATGTTCGGAGGAAGACCAACTGATCTTTGGACACTCATTCTGACATATCTGTGAAGGTTCTCAGGTACCAGGTCATGCTAATCTGAGGAGCTTGGAAAGAAAAGCGACTGGGCTTCATGACATCACGAGTGTCCGAGCTGAGGTCGCCGTTTCTCTCGTCATCAATGACCTGCCGCACTGCACCGCAGTACATGGTTAAACCTGACCTGTGACATCACAAAGTCTGATGTGGAAGTTCTGAGACCTTCTGGAAAGATCTCAGGCTGGATCATGAAATCATGTATGAAGGTTTTCAGATTGTTTACTGGTTTTACTGGTCTGAACCAGTGGAGCTGAAACTCCCATGTTTGAGCTCACTGCCTGTTCTCCTTCACCTGTTCTCACCTGTTTTCGCTGCACTTTCTAATTAAATTAACATGTGACCTGTCAACTTTCCTATTTATAGGCCACGCCCCTTCGCCCCTTGCTGGACTCCACTGAGCACGTGCAGACTGGACTCAGTTGTTGGGTTCTAATGTTTCTTTTAATGTTTCCTCAGGTCATGTCCGCGGGGAGGAGTGCTGACGGCAGGGAGGTGCAGATTCCCCTCCAGCAGGTGGCACCCTCCCTTATTTCGCCCCTCTCGGCAGCCCCGCCCTCTCACCGCCCAGCCAATCTGTGGCCTTCTAGTGAGCCCACCGCTCAGCAAGGTAACGAGTTTCAAAAAAAAATCTTTGTTAGGTAGGATTCACACACGGCGGCTGATCTGATTGGCTAAGATTATTTAAGACCCAGTCAGGCCTTTGAAGCCAGGAGGGTGTGAATCCTCTTTGAGGACAGGTTCGGTAAGGTGTGTCTCTGACCTCAGGTGTGTGTTCAGGTGTGCCCGCAGGCTTCCTGCCTCTTCATGGCGGCTTCAGAGATCACTTTGTAGAAACTCCAGAAGCTAAATACTGCTGCGAGGCGTGCAGGCTGGTCCTGTGTCAGCCCCGCCAGACCGAGTGTGGACACCGTTTCTGTAACAGCTGCATCTGCGACATCCTCAGGTGAGACAGGCCACTCCCACTCAGGGGAAACACTGCGTCGATTTGAGTTCCTGCTCGACCCTGCAGGTGTCAGCGTTTAACTTTTGTGTCCTCTCTCCTGCAGTCGTCCAAACCCGGTGTGTCCGGCTGACATGGAGCCACTGTTCAGAGACAAGGTGGGCAGGAAGTGACATCACAGCAGAGATCATGTTGTTGACTGATCAGTTGGACTGTCAACATTAACATTTGTTAATCTGTGTTTACGAATAAAGTTTTAACACGATGAAGCCATCTGGAGCGCAGAATGGACCAACTTTGTACAAACTGCCCCAAATACGCTGAGAGAGGCATTTCCGATGGGTTCATTTGGTTAAAATTTTAATCGCGTTAATCCTGGCGACGGATAACGCATGTTAATGTTGACAGCCCCACTGGTCTGTGATTGATTCCCGATCAGTTACTGAGCAATCTGTGATCACTCGTCGGGCTGTGTGATTGATCAGGCTGTGCTTTGTGTTTCAGATCTTCAAAGACGTTTGCTGCCACCGGGAGATCATGTCGCTAAAGGTTTACTGCCGCAGTGAGGCGAACGGCTGTCAGGAGCAGATGAGTCTGCAGCAGATACCTGTGAGCACACGTACCTGAAAATCCCGCTTTCTGATTGGCTGCTCTGCATACAGCAGAAATTCACTTACCTGCCTCACCTGTGTGTCTGCAGGACCACCTGAACGTGTGTCCGTTCTTCGAGGTTCCCTGCCCGCTGGGAAAGTGTAAGGAGAGGATGATGAGGAAGGAGATTCCCGACCACCTGAACTGGAAATGCAAACACAGAGAAACCACCTGCGAGTTCTGCAGCACGAAGATGCCCCTGACAGACCTGCAGGTGAGCCGCGGGCAGCGTTTGGCTTCTTTTTCTTGCTTTTTGGTGATTTTTGTGAAAAATTAAGTTTTTAAAAACGTTTTTCAGAAACACAAAGATACGGTTTGTCCGGCGTTCCCCGTGATGTGTCCAAACCACTGCTCTTTCGCCTCCCTGCCCCGGAGCGAGGTGCTGACCCAGTTTTTCCCGGATCACTCGCACCCTTCAGCTTTCAGCTTTTCCGATCGCAGTGATCGATCGATCTATTGATTTATTGATGTTGTGCTGTTTCAGCTCTCGGGTCACCAGCATGACTGTCCCAAAGCTCAGGTCAGCTGTCAGTTCCACCGCTACGGCTGCACGTTCAAGGTAGTTTCATCATCATTCTCACTAAACGTGTGGCAGACCTGTGGCTCATGTACCACAGTACTGCAGTTATACACCTGTATTAATACTTCATACTGCATGTACTGCAATATTGCGTGTGCTGTGTTTCAGGGTTTGAACCAGGACATGAGGCAGCACGAGTCCACCTTCGCAGCCGAACACCTGAAGATGATGGCAAACAGGAACCTGTCGTTAGAGAACAAGGTAACCACGGTGGTACGTAAAACACTTCACATCTTCCTCAGAAGGTGCGGCGCGCGCTCACCTGAGCGCTCTCTGCTTCCAGGTGGAAGATGTGAAAGGTGAGCTGATGGAGCGGTACAAGGTGCTTCCTGCGCTCAGCAGCCGACTGTCGGAGCTGGAGAACCAGAACGAGGAGCTGAGGGAGAAGAACCGGCAGATGGAGCAGAAACTCGCCACCATGCAGGTACCGCCATTTCACTGGTGGTTTTTTCTTGACAGCGTGGGCTCCTCCCACCGTCCACAGACACGCTCATCACGTTAATCTGTGCTCTCTCCACAGAAACTAATGAGCTCTCACTCAGAGAAGTTGCTGGAGGTGGAACTGGAGCTGCATTCTCTCCGTCTGCTCAGAGATGAGGTGGAGAGCCTGCGAGGAACGCTGGAGAGCGTACGGACGAGGCTCGCCGCTCTGGAGCAAGGTGGACGCGGCGGATCCGGATCCACGACACACACACTGGGTTAGAACGGCCTCTCTGTACCGCCGTTGGGGTCTGGGGACGGGCTGTAGTCTCAGACACCAGAGGTTTAGGGCACGCTACGGCTGTTTGTCGATTGATAATCAATAACTCCCGGTGCACGTCTTCTTCTCTGCAGCATCCCTGGAGACTCAGCTGAATCGCCATGACGACATGCTGAGCGTCCACGAGATCCGATTGGCTGACATGGACCTGCGTTTCCAGGTGCTGGAGACGGCGAGCTACAACGGGACTCTAATCTGGAAGATCCGCGACTACAAAAGGCGGAAACAGGATGCGGTGGCAGCGAAGACGCTGTCGCTGTACTCGCAGCCGTTTTACACCGGATACTTCGGTTACAAGATGTGTGCTCGAGTTTACCTGAACGGAGACGGCATGGGCAAGGGGACGCACCTGTCGCTGTTCTTTGTGGTGATGAGGGGCGAGTACGATGCCCTGCTGCCCTGGCCCTTCAAACAAAAGGTACACCTCACTTCCTGTGTGATTAACCGCAGAAGCGTGAACAGCGTGTTCTGATGCGGTCTGTGTCTGTCCATCAGGTGACCCTGATGTTGATGGACCAGGGTCCCTCCAGGAAGCACCTGGGCGACGCCTTCAAACCGGACCCGAACAGCAGCAGTTTCCGCCGTCCGGTGGCCGAGATGAACATCGCGTCCGGCTGCCCGCTGTTCGTGTCGCAGACTGTCCTGGAGACGGGGACCTACATTAAAGATGACACCATCTTCATCAAGGTGAGGGGCGTGTCCTGCGGGTTACAGACCCCACCTATGTATTGATAAATTCAGCGATCAGTGAATTAACCTGTGGTGATTGGTTTGACCGGCAGGTTACCGTGGATACCTCTGACCTTCCTGACCTGTGACCGTGTGACCGGTGCGCACCTGGCAAAGCAAAGGATTATGGGAAGGATCAGAGATGGGAAGATGGAGAAGAAGAGACAGGAAGCAGCCAGTCAAAGTGAACTTTATTGACTGGTGGACTACAAAACTGTGTGTGTGTGTGTGTGTGTGTGTGTGTGTGTGTGTGTGTGTGTGTG